GATAGGGGTAATAGGGGTTGACAGATAGGGGTAATAGGGGTTGACAGATAGGGGTAATAGGGGTTGACAGATAGGGGTAATAGGGGTTGACAGATGTATAAGGACTGGTTGGCTGCAAGCCGTGTCAGTATGACACACCTGGACAATGTAACACCTACAACCATATCCACCCCGATACCAATGTGGTTCCTGCAGGTCTCAGCACACCGCTCCTTGTCTGTTGTGAACTACCTCCTTGTCACCTGGACAAGGGTACTTCCAATTCCCCTCCAAATGGGATACTTAATGACTCCGATACTGTAGTTTAGATAGAGTAGTTTTTCTGTATCCTTTTGTACAAGACTTATAGGTGTAGGGAATTCAATCCTAGTGTTCTCAATGTCCCAGCACTCCCATATGCCTCGTAGTGGACTCACACTTACTTCGGACATCTTCCCTACTGGCCTGCGTCGTTACAGACAAGGGTAGTTCTGATTCCCTTCCAAACTGTGTACTTAATCAGTTTGGCACAGTCGTTAGATAGAGTAGTTTTTCTGTATATTTTGTACAAGACCTATAGGTGTAGGGAATTCAATCCTAGTGTTCTCAACATCCCAGCACTCCCATATGCCTTGTAGCGGACTCACACTTACTTCGGACATCTTCCCTACTGGCCTGCGTCGTTACAGGCGCATCCCACCCATCACATTGCAAGTCAAAGTTGAGCAAACAACACCATGCTTGTTAGCTATTATCTGCCATGGAATCTCATCTCCAGAAGGTATATTTTCAACCTCTACATGCGCTTCATTAATACCTGTCATTGTTGTTGTGCTGTGGTGTTGAGAAGAATGGCTGCATATCGCGTTCGCGCGCATCCGGTGCACGGACACGGTAGCACAGACCATCTTACATCACGTGCACACGAGTCATTCCTTCCCAGTGCAGCGCGTCAACATATTCTCCGCATTCGTGGTTCGCGTCAAGCTTCGCACCAGAGCTCCAACCACAGCCGTTCAAGCATGTCAACTTGCTGCGGGCCACACTATAGTCCGCCCAAGTTGAGGCGGCATGGTGAAGCCACGAGCTGCACGCAAGCAGCCCATTGTGCTCTCTTCCGACACTGAAGGCAGTTCACCGCCTCCCCCCAAAAGGCCCAAGAGGGGCACACTAGCCAGTTCGTCCACTGATGTGCAGGGCAGCAGCAAGGCGAGGGCTACTCGCGTGCAGAAGAGACTTGCAGTGTCGCCGAAGCTGTCATCAATTGCGTCGACCCAGAAATCGCCAACTAAATCTCCAAGGAAGCTGAAGCCGATTCACAAACCCATAACATCCTTCTTCCTCCCGGGTACTACTCCCCACTCGCAGTCCGTGCAGCCTACACCGACATCCAGCCCCGGGAAACGCGCCACACCGCTGGAGGACGTTGACGATATTCTCGAATCCTCCGACGATGATCGACGGTCCCAGCCACCGACTGCGTTACCTGTGCGCAAGCGGAAGAGCGTGACAGCTCTCGCTGCTTCAGATGCCGGCAATGGTTCCAAGGGCAGCCAGAAGTTTCTGCGTACGGCGAGCGGCGCTCGTGGCACACCTCCTCCCTCGCAGCCAGCTCGCAAAGAACCAGCAGATGGACGGCCATGGACTGAAAAGTACGGTCCTCTGTCGCTCGATGAGCTGGCAGTGCACAGAAAGAAGGTGTCAGATGTGCGCACATGGCTTGAAGATGTCTACAGTGGCAAGCAGAGGAAGCGACTGCTGCTTCTGAAAGGCCCTGCAGGCAGCGGCAAAACTACAGCCATAGCCCTACTTTCAAAAGAGCTGGGCATCCACATGCATGAGTGGAAGAACCCCGCCAGCTCCATGACAGCATCTGAGGGCATCGTATCTGCGACTGCGCAGTTCGATGACTTTGTGGGAAGAGCAGGCGCATTCGGCAGTCTTACCTTCGATGGGCCACATCAAACTCCACCACAAGTTGTATCCAGCACTGACAGTAGACAAAATCAGCTCGTCCTTGTAGAGGAGTTTCCCAATACATTCGCGCGTGCGTCTCCCGCCGTACAATCTTTTCGATCATCTGTTCTCAACTTCCTTGCTGCCACCACTCCCTCAGCTACTACGTTCTTTGCTAGGCAAGCCGGTCCTGAACACTCTATCACGCCCATCGTTATGATCATCTCTGAGACACTGCTGTCTACGAATACGGCCGCCGCTGATAGCTTCACTGCTCACCGTCTGCTCGGACCTGAGATCCTGACCCACCCGGGGCTATCGGTTATCGACTTCAATCCAATCGCGCCGACGTACATGACAAAGGCACTGGACCTAGTTGTGGTCAAAGAGGCGCGCAAGTCAGGACGAAGGAACACTGCTGGGCCGCAGGTAATACAACGGCTCGCGGAGCTTGGCGATGTGCGCAGTGCTGTGTCATCACTTGAGTTTCTCTGCTTGCGAGGAGATGAGTCGGAGGGATGGGGCGCGAAGGTCAACTTCTCGAAGAAGAAGGGTCCCAAAGATGTGCCGATTACCAAGATGGAGAGAGAGTCGCTAGAGTTAGTGACCCAGCGAGAAAGCACTTTAGGTATCTTCCATGCTGTTGGAAGAGTTGTGTATAACAAGCGTCTGCCGGAGGACCCAAACAACCCCGTGCCTCAACCACCGCACTTGTTCCCCGAACGGCGTCGACCGAAGGCCTCGGAAGTCAATCTCGACACGCTTATCGACGAGCTCGGCACCGATACCCATACTTTCACTGCGGCACTACACGAGAACTACGTTCTCTCATGTGGAGGAGCAGACAGCGAAGAAACTATGGATTCGGTAGATGGTTGCATCGAAGCCTTGTCTGACGCCGATCTACTGTCTCCAGACCGGTTCGGCGCAGGCTCTGGTCGGCGGAACTTGCAGGGCACAAGTGCAGACAACCTTCGTCAAGACGAGATGTGCTTCCAGACAAGCGTCCGCGGGCTTCTATACAACCTACCGCATTCTGTAAAACGAATGGCACCGCCCCCTGGCGTCATGGGCATCAAAGCCAAAGGACAAGGAGCCAGCACCGGAGCGGCCAAGAGCGGCAGTGCATTTGTTATGTACTATCCAGCCTCGCTTCGAATCTGGAAACAGCAAGAAGAAACCAATGACCTCCTCGAGTTGTGGATCTCACGGGCTCAGCGCGGCGAGCTGCTATCCACAAGCAGTGGGCCATTCAAACACGCACTCCCAACCGGGGGTGTAGAAACATGGAAACGAAACACCGCACCATTACAAACCTCATCAACCTCATCAACCGCTTCGTCCCGCCAAGGCAACGACGAACCACTACCAACTCTCCTCGGCAGCGGCGGTTCAGCACGCTACGAAATGCTCCTCGAGCGACTCCCCTACCTGACCACCATTCTCCGCAAGTCGCGCATGCCCTCGCCCTCAACTGCCGCCACGATCCGCGAGATCCAGAAGATCACTTCGTTCCACGGCACTGGGAGCAGCAAGGGAGGATATGAGGAAGACGGTGAGGACACTTTGGAGCAACAAGGTGGTGAGCAGGAGCAGTGGGCGACTGATAAGGATACGCCTGCGACGCCACGGAAGAAGAAAGGCGTGAGGCTTGTTGAGAGTAAAGAGAAAGATGAAGAGGAGTCGGCGATTGCGGGGTTGTCGGCGAAGGGAGCAAGTTTGGTGCTGGAGGACGATGATATTGAGGACTGAAGTTGTGCGTTATGACTGTAGATAACGGTCCGTTTGGAAGACCATGGCGTTCAAGGCGAAGGGAAGCAGAGTATATGCTACAAGCATCGCAATGATCAAGCGTGTATGTTGAAAAGACATGTATAGGCACGCAATCGACGATTAACAATGTAATCAATCATCGGTCTTGATTCGCTCGCGAGCTATGTCAACGCTCTGGGTATCCCAAGCAATGTATGTAAATGCCAGCAAGTCAACCGACGCTAAACGCCTCACGCAACAAGTGCGACTATACCAAGAAAAGAGTTGCATCTCCATGCTCCTTAATGACCGAGCAACCTCCACCGTTCCACTTCTCCCCCCTCACTCACACTACAGCGTTGTTACCCAGAGTCCTCCCCCTCACTCGAAAAATACCCCTGATCAATCTTCAAAATCCACTCAATCTTCTCCCTCTCACTCTTCGCCCGAAAGATATAGGTATTACTCTTTGCAAACACCGCGAGTATTGTATCTTTCTGCTGCGCCGTCACCCCATTCCCCCCATTACTTCCTTGTCTACTATGCCCACCACTCCCATTCAACAGCCTCGCAATCTCCGGCGAATGATTAACCCGCGCGTTGGTAAGGTTGATAGCATTCAGCTCATCCCCATCCACGCTATAAATATGCAGATATGGGCGGCGGAGCTCGACGTAACGCCGGATCCAGCGGGTGTTCGTTGGGTCAGGCGTCAGCAAAAATGAAGCTTTGAGGAGATTTGGGTTCTTGGATATAAACCGCACGGTGGCCGTGAGACTGGTTTTTGGCGCGGGGCTGTTTCCGCGCGAGGGCGAGCGCGGGGCGAATGCGGCACCCGCGGTGGGCGGCTCGAGGTTTGTTGGAGACAGGATTATGGATTCGGGGGCTTTGTGACTCGTCCACAGAGTCAGTGTTCTGGAGAGGAGGGCTTTTTGGCGGTCGTCGAGCTCCGCGTTAGTTATTGGGTCGTCGCGTTTGGGGATGCTGAGCAGTTTAGGCGAGAGGATGGTGCGCGCGAGCTCGATTTCTGCGATACGGCGGCGGCGGCGCTCGACGCCGATGTAATCTTTTACGAGGGAGACGCCGCGCGGTGTCCAATCGGCGAGGTCTTCCTCGCCCTTGATGTAGTCCTCGCGCGTGTTCATGCGCCAGAGGTCAGTGGCACGTTTTACGGATGTGGGACGGATGGCGACGTTGAAGATGCCGACTGTGGAATGGACGACCTTGACTTGGTTCCAGAGATTCGAGAGGGAGAAGAGGGAGGTTTGGCGGATGTAGGCACGGTTGCGGATCTGCATTGCGAGATCAAGCGAGAATACCATTGGTTCATCGAGCTTCGCGGATGTGACGTTAAAGAGCAGGTTCGCCTGTACGCGATATTTGTCCTGGGTGGCGCGGTCCAGAAGTAGGGATCCATGGGCTGTACTGTCCCATCGACCGATGAACTTCACGTTCGTAGTGCCATCGGCGTTGTCTTTGACAGTAGGCGGCGCAGTCAGGTCGATGGGAACCTCCCTGACAGGAGAGTCGATTCCAGGAGCATTACCGGATGCATCAATCAGACGGATGCGACCCATGCGCATTGACGTTACGTTTTGCCACTGCAGTGTGTCGCCGCAAGTATGTGTAAGGTTCACCACGATGCGTCTTGCCAAACCCTGATGCAGCTGGTATACTCCGGCATCTAAGACGCTGCTTTGTGTGACTTCGACGGGTTGGTAGGTTCCATCATCTGAGATCTCCTGAATCTGAATGCGAGAAAAGATGTCGTGAGTGTCTTCAGTGTAGAACTCGGACTCCGCAATACGCGCAGTGCGGCGCTTCTGCTTGCGCTGAGGAGCCTGATCTCGCATGTCATCCCAGCTCAGAAGCTTGTCGAGATGCATGGAGGTTACTCGTGCAAAGATAGCGACGCGCAGGAATGTGTCTGGCGGACTTGGGTACGGTATGCTCATACTGTGGAAAGTCTGGAAACGGATGGGCCCCTCGTCGAACTTGTTCATGAACATTGTGCTCGTCGCGCCTCCTTCTTTGGAAAGACTAGGCAGATACAGCAAAGCATGAACGTCGGTCCCTTCCCTTTCAGGAAAGCCCACAAGCTCATGCAGCGTAACACTAAAGTTGAGCGTCGTGGTCGGTGCTTCTGCAGAAGAAGGTTCTACTGACAGATGAATGATACCGATCGGGTTGGCGGTGTATGGTGAAATGACGTCGAGCTTCATATCTCGCACTCTTGACTCGAAGACAGCAGCAAGCGGCACGTCAACATCGCCAATGCGAGAGAACTCGGGCATACAAGGGTCCGAGAACGGGCTCTCTGGGTTGAAGTGCTGCATGTACTCAGGTCGGTTCATGTACTGATGCATTTGATGCATCCGCCGCACGCGTTGACGTAGCTTTTGTAGTGACCACAAATGTATCACCTCGTGCTTGAAGTCGATCACGCGTACACCAACACATGGCTTCGGTGTATCGTCCAGATCATCATCGTCCTCCTCTCCGGTATCGGCAAGATTGATCAGATCGTAGGTCGAGGGTACAGTCTGACCGACATCAACGATGCAGAACTGGAAGACCACATTCTTGTCCATTTGTTGACTCATGACTTGCGCTTCCTTCAAAGTTGCAGCGTTTTGCAGGATTGTCTCAGCCATGGTGACGTACTTCCGTTTTCGCCAATGCTGAAATGCCGTTCTTGCGCGAGCGAGTTGCTGCTCGTTCAGGCCCTCCTTCGCAGGTATGGCTTCATCATCGGGCTCAGGCTCATGACCAAGCTTTCTCAGCTGGCGTTCAAAAGTCTCCTTCTGCTCTTTCAACTTCGCCTCCATCTCTTCCTTTGCAGCACGCAGCTCCTCCAGCTCTACTTTGGCTTCTTCGTCGGCCTTCAACTTGGCTTGGAAGTCTTCCTTCTGCTTGTCTAGCTTATCCTGCATGTCGCTCTTCAACTCTCGCATCTTCTCACTGTCCTCATATTGTGGTGTGGAGGGCGAGGTCAGCATCGTGTCGAGTGAGAAGTTGTCGATGGTTCCATTGGATGCATATTTTTCCCGGATAGGATAAGACGATGTCGATTCCATGTCTTCTTCCTGCTCAAACAGGCGATTCGCGTTGCCAGCCTTGCGATTGTCACGTTGTCTTTGCAGGTCATCAATGATAGCATCAAATTCGTCGTCTGGCAGGTTCTCGATGCGTTTGTCCGGCCCTAGCCATGCAGCAAGTGCTTCCCTGCGCGCAAATGTGAACTCAGACTCCTTTCCACGCTGCCAGAAAGCGGGCGAAGATGCCCTTGGGCTGTCGGGGTCGAACTCGGAATTGGCGAGACTAATCGTGCTGTGTGTTCTGTCGTGTCCAGGCCTTGGTGCTGGCGAGGGAGAGGTCAGTTGGCTGGCATGCACCGAATGTCGCAGTAAGCTCTTTCCTATTTCGGCACGCTCTGCTCTTACTTCTCCTGGGTTCGTGAACCGGAAGATATGAAAGTCGCCAAGGATGATGCGGTGGCCACTTCTAAGCTGTATTGGTTTGTCGATTCGGAGACCATTGACCATGATGCTCGCCCCTTCCTGTGGTACCACGGTGACCGTACCGTCCACATTTTCAAGGTCGCAATGGTGCGCGAGTATTTGCGAGCCGTTCAAGCGAATTGTCGCAGTCTGGTCTTTGGTGTCGGAGTTGCCTACGGCTGTTGTTCCAGGCTTGAGATTGTAGATGAGACACTCATTCATAAGCGCATCGTCACTCAGATTGACCAAATGGGGCATGTTCTTCGGTGTGGAGAGACCAACGAATCCCTTTTCGATGCTGATACCAAGCTCTTCCAGAGCAGCCTCCCGCTCCTTGTGGATCTCCTCCGTCTTTTGAAGCTTCTCCTCCCATGTCTGATTGAGGTCTTTGTACAGCTTTTCTGACTGGTTCAGCTTCTCCACAATCTCAGCCTTTGAGACCTTCTTCTCAGTCCCGTCTGCTTCAGTGATTGTGACGATCTGCTGCTCCAGGGGTGTGCCCGGCGCATACTGTTCTGCGGCCATACCACCGCCGCCGCCTCCTCCGCCGCCTCCTCCGCCTCCGCTGAGTTGCGAACGAAGTTTTGCCAGCTCTTCGTTCAGTTCTCGAATCATGCGCGCATTCGGATCTTCGTTGACAACAGCGTGGTTCTTGATGCGTTTCGCGGAATCGGCGTATCGGAGAGTTGACAGGGTCTCGTCGAAGTTGATATCGGCTGGCGAGATAGCTGCGACCATGGCAGTCATACTGTTTCCTCCTAGTGAATCTTTCAACAGCCATGTTAGAACTGAATCTCGGTATGGCACTTGCGTCTTCTTCTTCCCTGTCGACTGATCTGCTAGCGCTGCAATGACACGTCCCAGGGTCGAAAGAGACCTATTGATCTCTGCACCTTCCTTCAGTCGAGCTCCTGTCGCACCAGTAGACTGCGCTCTTTCTGAACCTGCCAGATCCACTAAACTGATCTTTGCGACCCTTTCTCCGCTCAATCCGGCCTGTGCATCGTGACGCTTTTGTGTGAGGGTTACGGTGAAGACGGCGTGCGATCGGGAGGACGTCTCGTTCATGTTCGTCGCAGCAACGGTACGGGCCTTGTTTCCTTCGTCCATCAGATTCTCGATATCGGGGAATGATTGGACCACCAGCTTCGCCAAGTCTTCAACGTATGGACCGGTCGAAGGGTGCTCTCGGACCCTTAGGTTGCCCTTGTTCGAAGGGTTCAGAAGATCGCGAACACGTTCGTTGTAGATTTCCAAGTATGACACCTCCACGGTACAGCTCAGGCTCTTGTCCTTTTGCATCTCCCCAATCCTCTCGAACATGTCTTGACAGATCTTAGGGATAATGCCGTACTCTTGCCCATAACCCATCATTGAATATGATTTTCCTGAACCCGTCTGGCCGTATGCAAAGATACAGTTGTTGTACCCCTGGAAGGCATTGTCCAGCAACGGCTTCCCCAGATCTTGGTGCAGGTTGTCTTGTCCGGCATAGTTGGGCGCATCGCGGTCGAAGGACCAGTATGAACGATCGAACGCAAACGTCTTGGTGCCTTCGGCGGCAGCTTTCGCGGCTTTTCCCTGGACAGAAACGTTCGTCGGTGGTCTGATAATGGTCTGGTCGCCCTTCATCTCGACAATGCATTGTGCATTGCGTTGCTTCTCTGTATCCCATCAGCTCCGCGTCCCATCAGCTCCGCACCGACTTGGGTGTATTCCTCGAGCATACCTCGGCCGTTGAAAGGCCTACACCTCACCACCACCTTGATGTTGCCGCCGCCTGACGCCATGGTGCAGGACCAATTACTGTTTTGTTTCCAAGATTACGTGGGTGCTGTGTAAAGGAGTGAATGCCGGTCGAGGCAGAGATGATGCGGCGGTCATGTGCAGAACATGGAGAAACAAATACCACGGTGAGGTATGTGGATGTTGTCCAAGTGCAGTAAAGGAGGCGGTCAGCAGTGGAGCAGTCCACGGTTGTTATGGTCGAGTCGCGGCAACTAACAACACGCGTGAATCCTTACCCATGCTTGCCGGCTTGGACCCTGCTTCTTGGCGCCTGTCATCGCGTAAAGGTTCAGATGACTGGTAGAGGCTGAGTACTGCAAACACATACAGCTGTATATATGTGCCTGTCATATTACAGCACCTATGGCTGACGACATGTTCGCGCCGCCCGTCAACCGCGCCATGAAGGTGCTGGACCGCAGCTTCTTCCAGAAAACTGTGCCCGCATCCGCCGCGAGAATCTTCAAGCCCCAGGACATTGCGCGCTGCCGCAAGGAGCTGCAGCTCAGCAAAGACACGCTGCCCAACAACCGCATACAGCCCGTGCGAACAGATCCCGATGCAGAAAGAGCGCAGAAAGGGGGCAAATGTCTCATCTTGAAGCCTGAGATTGTACCCAACGGTATGTTCACTACCCCACACGACATCCTGAGGTGCTGAGTCTGAACGGCAGGCAGATCGCACGACATGGAGCCCTAGGCTGCGCGACCTCGAGCAGGATGGCACGCTCGGTGTCATTCCATACCAGCTGCACCTTGACTACGACTACTTCACCTACTCGGAGATCACCAGCGCAACGATCCCCCCACCAGAGAAGAAGAACGACGACGAGATACCCCAAGGCTTCACGCTCGCCGGTCACGTGGCCCACCTGAACCTGCGCGAGCGCTACTGGCCCTACAAGCACCTCATCGCGACCGTGCTTGCCGACAAGAACCCCATGGTGAAGACCGTCATCAACAAACTCGACAACGTCGGCAGCGAGAACGCCTTCCGCACATTCCAATACGAAGTCCTCGTCGGCGAAGACGACCTCAATGTCGAAGTCCACGAGCAGGGCTGCACGTTCAAATTTGACTTTGCAAAAGTCTACTGGAACACGCGCCTGCACACCGAGCACGAGCGGTTATGCGACATCTTCCAAGAAGGGGAAGCCATCTGCGACGTCACAGCGGGCGTGGGTCCCTTCGCCGTGCCAGCAGGGAAGAAGCGGTGTTTCGTGTGGGCCAACGATTTGAACCCCGAGAGCTACAAGAGCCTGGAGAACAACATCAAGATCAACAAAGTCGGCCATTCTGTGCGCGCTTTTAACTCGGATGGCGCGGATTTCATCCGCACTGCGTCGCACGCGCTGCTTACGAGCAAGCACTCAGTCGATGTAATGCCCAAAACCAAATTCTCGCGCTCCAACCCACCAAAGAAGAAGCCCGCGCCCCTCAAAACCCTCACACAACCGCGCATCTTCAGCCATTATGTCATGAACCTGCCCGCCTCGGGCATAAACTTCGTCTCCAGCTTCGTCGGCCTGTACGCCAACGTGCCCGGCGTGCCAGTCGAGGAAATCAAGAAGCTGTTCGAGGGCCGGAAGATGCCAATGGTGCATGTACATTGCTTCAGCACCAAGAGCGACGACAATGTCAAGGAGAAGGAGGAGATTTGTGAAGAGTTGTCCAGACAAATGGGCTACACTATCACTCCTGACATGCCCGAGGTAGACATTTACGATGTTAGGGATGTGGCGCCGAAGAAAAGGATGTTCTGCGCGACGTTCAGATTGCCTGAGGAGGTCGCCTTCAGACAGGCCTAAGGGCTACAGTTGGAGGCGGTAAAAGCTTTTACTTCGGGACAGGTAGATTTGCAGATACCCATCGATATTTGAATGAATACACTCATACGAGGGCATGCGAATGTATATACGGTGACTCCACACATCGTTCCCGCACATGCTTCTCGTTCTTCCGACACACTTTGCAGGCAATCTCACAAACCCATCAACATCTCATCCTCAATACCGTCGCCGGAATCATCCTCAATCTTGACAGTCCGCACAGGCGAGTCCTGCCTTCCAGCATCGCCGTTCAGGTCGACGAACTGCGAGAAATTCAAGTCCCCTTCATACTCATTTGACTCGATCGCAGTACCCACAACTGCAGTCTTTTCCTTTGGGTGTAACAAAGTTGTCGCTGCCCCTAACGCCTGTCTGCGCGACCTCGCCTGATTCGTGATGGGGGAAACCGCGAGTTGGTAGGCCAGCCCCACCCTCGACACGTTGATAACCGTTGCTTTGGTCGGTAGCAGCTACACTCTCGTCCGAACGAAATACCGTGTCCGTGCGCGTAATGCGCGGATTCGCGTAATGCGCCGAACCACCAAAATAGCTCCACCAAAAATGAGGCTGTAGAGCCACACACAATGGTTATTATCATGAGATTTTCTGGTGGAGTAGTCTATAGACCTATATGAACAAGTTCCTCACTCAAACTTTTGTGGCACTCTGATTGGGCGGCCGCGGCTGTTGTATTTTGCCGGAGGGGATGGGGAGC